GCAAGGCACATTAGCAGAAATCTGGATCAAAAGCAGAGTAAGCAAGACTTGAACCAGCACTCCAAGCTGTACTTAACTCTCTCTGCCACCCAGTCTCCCACACAACTTTCTAATTCAGTTTATTTTTTAGACAATATGAGACCTCTTTAATGAAATTAATCATCAATTTTTTTAAGAATTTATTTCAAAATCAGAAAGAGAGAGACACAGATCTTCTACCCGAAGACAGAAGCTGGGTCAAGAGGAAATCAGGAGCCAGGAGCTTCATCTGGGTCTACCATGTAGAGTGCAGGGGCCCAAGCACTTGGGCAATCTTCTGCTGCTTTTCCCAGGCCATTAGCAGGGAGCAAGATGGGAAGTGAAGCAGTTGGGACACAAACTGGCATCCATATGGGATGCCGGGCATCACAGGTGGCGATTTTACCCTCTACGCCATAATAACAATCATCAATTGTTAATCACTAAAAATTGAAATACTTTAACCTAATAATGGAATGAAATAATATAGGTTGGAGGACCAGCATTGGGGGGTAGCAGATAAAGTCAACACTTGGCATATGTCCTGGCCGCTCCACTTCTGATCTAGCTCCCTGGTAACGGGCTGGGAAAAGCAACAGAAGATGGCCCAAGGGACTGGGCCACTGCCACCCAAGTGGGAGACCCAGGTGAAGTTCCTGGCTTCAGCCTGACTCAGCCCTGGCCATTGCAGCCATGGGAAGTGAACCAAGGACAGAAGATATCTGTCCCTCTGTCTCTCCTTCTCTCTGTAACTCTGCCTTTCAAAAAACTAAACAAATCAGGCTGGTACCGCAGCTCAGTAGGCTAATCCTCCGCCTTGCGGCGCCGGCACACAGGGTTCTAGTCCCGGTAAGGGCACTGGATTCTGTCCCGGTTGCCCCTCTTCCAGGCCAGCAATTAATTCATATATGATCCTGAACTTAAATGGCAGCTCTTAATATATACCAAAAAAGTTCCTGATTTCTAAAAGATCAAATTAGTCTGAGTACAATTAACTGTGCTTAGTAGTAGACTCCTGATAACCAAAAAGAGATAGAAATGAGAAATTAACCGACTTTAATACACAAATCAGCCAAACAGAGAACTTACTTACAGGTAATATGAAAAACAGATTAACTCTAACACTAATTTTAATGCCAACAATTGCCACCTAGATAATTTTTTTTTTTTTTTTGACAGGCAGAGTGGATAGTGAGAGAGAGACAGAGAGAAAGGTCTTTTGCTATTGGTTCACCTTCCAATGGCCGCCACGGCTGGTGCGCTGTGGCCGGTGCACCGCGCTGATCCGAAGGTAGGAGCCAGGTGCTTCTCCTGGTCTCCCAAGGGGTGCAGGGCCCAAGCACTTGGGCCATCCTCCACTGCCTTCTTGGGCCACAGCAGAGAGCTGGCCTGGAAGAGGGGCAACCGGGAAAGAATCCGGCGCCCCGACCAGGACTAGAACCCGGTGTGCCGGCACCACTAGGTAGAGGATTAGCCTAGTGAGCCACAGCACCAGCCATCACCTAGATAACTTCTATATCCACTAAGTAATCATGACTACAAAGAATCAGGAAATTCTTAAATTATACTCTTATGGTTAGAAGAATCCAACCTTTTTTGTTGCTGTAACTCATCAGTTTCATTCTTTTCATGGAACGGCATCACAACATGAGACCAAATATGTATATGCTTTGATATTCAGAAAGGCTACTTTATGTTAACATAAATTCAATTAATTAGCAGATCCCCAGTTCTTCCAAAATCTGTATTAATAAAAATCCAGGGGCCAGCACTGTGGCATAACAGGTAAAGCCTCTGCCTATAGTGCCAGCATCCCATATGGGTGCCGGTTTGAGTCCCGGCTGCTCCATTTCTGATCCAGCTCTCTGCTATGGCCTGGGAAAACAGCAGAAGATGGCTCAAGTGCTTGGGCCCCTGCACCTGCATGGGAGATCCAGATGAAGGTCCTGGCTCCTGGCTTCAGATCAGCACAGCTCCAGCCATTGTAGCCAATTAGGAAGTGAACCAGCAGATGGAAGACCTCTCTCTCTCTCTCTCTCTCTGCCTCTCCTTCTCTCTGGGTAACTCTGACTTTCAAATAAATACATAAATCTTAAAAAAAAAAAAAAATCCAATGAGAAGAGTGTTTGGTGTACCACAGTGCCTGGTTTGAAGCCGCATACTTTGGGAGGTAGCAGATGATGGGTCAACTACTTGGTTCCCTGCTACCCATGTGTGGGACCCGGATTGAGTGGTGGGCTCCTGGATCCAGCCAGGCCCAGCCCTGGCTTGTTGCAGCTTGGGAGAATGAACCAGCAGATGAAGATCTCTCTGTCTCTGCCTTTCAAACAAAAATGAAAATAATTTTGTAAAATTTAAATGTGAAATCTTTAAAAATACAGTAATTATTTTCTATTCAAACTTTTGGTCTTATACACTGCTGTATTTCTTTAAAACCTCTCAGAGTTTATATTTGTTTGATACTATTCTTTACTTTGGAATCAATGTTTTGTTACTGTCAAGATAATCTTAGACTATTCAGTCTCCCTAAACCCAGTTGATTCTTAGAAATTCTCCCATCTATAAAACATGAGAATTATAACCAAATTAACAAATCAGATATCAGAATGCCAAAAATTAAGTCATTAAAAGAGAATCCAGAGAAACAGCCAGTTGTGAAAGAACAGGAAGTGATGTACACTGCCATTTTGTAGACGAACTATTTAGAAACCTAAGAAGTGACATACTAAATCTGAAATCCTCAGACGAATAGCTCTCAGTATTCTCTAACAGCGGCATCAGAGGTCATCTGAAATAACCCGCAAGCACATTTTCCTTAATAATGAGTTTATCTAATGGATCAAGAACACACTTTTCCCACTTTTAGACAGAGTTCCTACCGGCTACAGAAAACAGAAAGGGTTTCTTTTTAGTTCTCCTGAAGAGGACCCTTAGTTCTAGCATACTGAAACACAGCAAGTAGCTAACCTATACCCCATATACATCTGTAAGTTTTGTAGCTTTTATTAATAAATTCTTTCTTCCTACATCTTTTAAAAGTAAAAGCACTCTTTACTGAGAATATACTTGGATTTATACAAGCTAGCCTATACACATCAATTATCAACAAACCATAATATCGAAAATTAGGTTCTATTGCATAATTTCCCATATAAAAGAAAACTATACATCATAACTGCAGCTGTGTGGCATGAAATATTCAAATGAATAGCGCTGTTTCAGTTAAATGAGTTGAGATGAACATCTAAAGAGAATAAGGCAAAGAGTTCCATTTTCTAAGGGACAAAATAATAAAACATATTTAACACGTCTCCTACATCACAATCATGAAACGAGATGATAAAAGCTAAATTTGTGTCTAGCATTACTACAAATATCTTTAAATCTCTGTATTAAAATAGGGTTCAAAATGCACCACACACTCCAAGAAAGCTCTCAAGAACAACATTTAATGACAACATTGCAGATGGCATTTGGAGGTATTTAAAAATAAAGTCACCAAACTAAGTAAAGTTTAAAAACTAAAAACAAACAAAAAACAAACCCATCACATAATCTATACATATTTTAGTCAATTTCATCACTTTGTGAAACAAATTTTTTGACTCTTAATATTCATATATGGAACATTTTGGAATAGCTTCACCTGCACATCTAAACACTTCAAGAAAAAAAATGTGTCAACAGTACATCAAGACTATTTCAAAGCTTAAAGACCATTTTTTGTTCACAAACAGCACTTGGCAACACACTTCCAGAATGTTAACATTTTTATTTCTTTCTACTCTAAGGACAAAACCAACAAGTACTACAGAAAAACAAATGATTTGTTTTAAAACAAACATGACATGAAGCAAATTAATGAAAAAAATGACTACTTGATTTCCAGAATACAGATATATCTTAACATAATTAGGTAAATTTTCATTGCCTTAAAAGTATTTGCTACAGAAAGATTTGCAACTTCATTATTTTCAGAAAATTTCAATTTCAATTATAACAAAATATTAACCTTAAAAACGTACAGCCCGGGGGATACGTCCATCACATAGACTGCCCGAATGTAATAATCTTAAAAATTCTTCAAGAACTACAAAACTCATAGCAAGAAAAAAAAAAAAAAGAGGAGTACAAAATTATTTGAATCCTAACGAAAACCCAACCTGCTCACCAAAAAAAAAAAAAATGTCAGTCCATACATCTCTCAAAAAGAGCAAGAGAGACATCCAACTGTTCTAACACAAGAGGGGTCCCTTCGAGAAGCCAGATCCCCCCACAACAACGGAAACCTGTATCTCCCAAGGACCGATCACACAGGAAGGGTACTATAGACTGTACTGTTATCGAAACGAAGGAAAAAGAGTAACCTTTCCGAGAGAAGCGCCATTACTTCCCTCTCCTGCTCCCCCTCCCTTCAGTGTATACATGGGTCTGAGTATGAAGAAACTGCCTTGGACTTCTGCAGCATTGCAGTAGGCTTGAGCTGGGGAAGGGGGAAGGGTAGGGGGTAAGAAACGCTCCCATCACCCCTTCAAGAAGAGTAGAGCTCTCCGGGGATTGGGGGGGGGGTGTGTGTGTGTGTGTGTGGAACCCACCCAGCCGGCTACCCAGAGCAGTCTCCCTTCCCAAGAATCCACAGACACTACAAAGGAGGAGCGGGAGGAGAGGGACCAGAGAGAAAGGAACATTGCGCCTTTAAATCGGGGTTCACATCAACCCAGTCGGCCAGAGGGCCACACCTTCCTCGAAACAGCCCCTTCCGGTGACCCTCAGGAAAAAGGAATGTAATCGCCCTAGCCCCTCAAAACGGGGAGGGCGCCCAACTCACCAGCTTCTTTACCCCACCCACAGAATCACAGACCCTCCTTGTCTCCCTCCCCCACCCCACCCCCACATCCCTTCTTCCACACAAGAGGCCTGAGTGGGCCGAATTTCCCCGCCCCCCTCCATGTCTCCTTTTCCCCAAGCAAAGGTGCCCTTACCCTTTCGCCGACAGGTCTGGGGCGGGGTAGGCAGGCACAGCCCCCTGCAGCTCTCCGGTGGCCGCTACGCTGGAGGGCAAGGAGTGAAGAGGAGGAGGAGGAAGAGGAGGAGGAGGAGGGGGCCCGGCGACAGACCGCCGCCCCCCCCACCCCGGAGCCCCAGTGAGCCGCCCAGCCCAAGCTCTGCGACAAGGGGCAAGGGGGTGGGGGGGGCGAGGGGACGACCGGGGTCGAAGAGGCGCCCTCAGAGCTTGGGCTCAGCTAAGATGGCGCGGGGAAGTGCCGGGAGCTGCCGCCGCAGCCGCCGCCGCCGCCTCGGGGGAACCGTCCCGGGCCTCGGCCGCCTCCCGTCCTCACACAGCCGAGGCCCTCTCGGTCCCCCGCGGCGGCCCCTTGGCGGGCGGGCCCACGCGCAGTCCTCGGCCACCACCACCACCCCTGGGAAGGGGGCGCTCACAAAGGGAAGAGAGGCCGCGGGCCGGCCGGCGGGCTGCGGGGCGGGGTCCCCAGGGGCCGGGAGGCCTCAGAGGCTCGCGGGTGCCTAACGCTCTCGGCCCGCGAAGTGCGCAGGGCAGGCGGGACCCCTCCTCTCTCCTCGGGCAGGCGGCGGCACCGACTCACTCTCTTTGCCACCCTCCCTCTCTCCGAGCCCTGAAGCCACAGAGATCGGCCGCTGCCCAGGTTCCCCCCCTTCCCCGACACCACTCCCCTCCTCCCGACAGTCATCCCAGTCTCCGATCTCGCGAGATTTCCCGCCTGACAGGCCCGACCCTGCGCGAGGCACGACTACGTGCGCGCGCGCGCCCTCACGAGAGCGCGCAGAGGCTTGCGCTGGGCAGGGTCGCCCCGGCCGCCGGGTGTCCGTGCCTCTGTCCAGCCCGGCCTCGGTCATCTCGCGGAGCCCCTATGCCACGCGGACATCAGGTGCATTGATCTCACCTCTCAAATCTGAGAGAAAAGAGTTCATCTGTACTCGCCTTTTGTCCTTTTTCACGCCTCCGAAGCATCCGTCCTCCGCTAAACTTGGGAATGAGAAGTTTGTCTTAAAGTGTGTAACATCCTATTCGCATACCTTAGGTCGACCCCTTCGAGGAATTCAGAGGTAAATTGGCCAGCATAATCAGTATGTAACTGAGTTTTTGAGATCTTAGTAGTTTATAATTTTGGAACAGCGGTAAAGTAAGCTCACGTTATTTTAGTGATGGTCGGAAAAGCTTTTGTGGATTTAGTAGACTGATGAGAAGTTTTTGGAACAAGAGCAGCAAGCAAACTAAACTGGGATAAATATCTGGCTGCTTGCTTCAATGGGATGCAGGTATGACTTGTTCTGAATACTCTCTTTTATAGTAAGGGTCCTTCCTCTTTGCCAGTCATTCCTCTTTTATCTTTATTACCAACCACCACCCAATGGCAACCTCACCTCCTTGGGGTGGGAAATAAAAGGATTTCTATCTTCATCTCTCCTGCCCTTCGCAGCCAAACCTCCTGAAAAAGTTGTGTATCCTCCCACCTCCCCTGTAATTGATCTTGCCAAGTTCAAGAGTGACCTTGATTGCTATGTCTATTGGAGTCATTTAATCCTTTCCTCCTGTCATCTGCAGTATTTGACATAGTTGACACTGCAGTCTTGAAATTGCATTCCTCCTTGGCCTTTTCGATACCGTAAAACTGTTTTCCTTCTTCCTTCTGGTCCTGGCAGTGCCCTTCTTCCTCCACTCATCCTTGAAATATGCCCGTCTAATCCTGATCTCTTTTCCTAAAAGTATTAGAGCAAGAATATTATAGATATTCCATACATTTCAAAGTGGAAAACAGTTCAGGCTTTCCCATAGTATTTATTTTTTCTTGACAGGCAGAGTAGACAGTGAGAGACAGAGAAAGAGAGAAAGGTCTTCCTTTACTGTTGGATCACCCTCCAATGGCCGCTGCGATCTGAAGCCAGGAGCCAGGTGCTTCCTCCTGGTCTCCCACGTGGGTGCAGGGCCCAAGAACCTGGGCCATCCTCCACTGCCTTCCCGTTCCACAGCAGAGAGCTGGACTAGAAGAGGAGCAACCGGGACAGAATCCGGTGCCCCAACCGGGACTAGAACCCGGAGTGCTGGCACCGCAGGCACAGGATTAGCTTATTGAGCCGTGGCACTGGCCTCCCATAGTATTTTTTAAATTAAAATTTTCAAATATATATGGAAAGAGTAGAATAGAATAATAAACTTCCATGTACCCAGTTTCAACTATTATCAATACTTTATCAGCCTTATTTCACTTCTTCTCCCACAAACGTATTTTCAAAAACATTTTTTTTTATTTGAAAGACCCAGAAACAGAGAGGTCTTCCATCGGCTGGTTCACCCCCCAAATTCCCACAACAGTAGGGCTAGGCCAGGCTGAAGCCGGAAGCAAATAACTCAGTTATGGTCTCCCACATGTGTGGCAGAGACCCAAGTATTTGAGCCGTCATTTCCTGCCTCCCACAGTGTTCATTAGCAGGAAGTTGGATCAGAAGCAGAGTAGCTAAGCACCCTGGAATGCAGATGTCCCAAGTAGAACTCAAATGCCGTGCCACGTGCCCAATCCCTCCCTGAAGTATTTTTTAAGAGTTATTTGTTTGTTTATTTGAAAAGCAGAGTTACAGAGAAAGGAGAGACAAAGATCTTGATCTACTGGTTTCTTCCCCAAGTGGCCCCAACAGCCAGGGCTGGGCCAGGCAGAAGTCAGGAGCTTCATCCAGGTCTCCCACATAGGTGCAGGTACTTGGACATCTTCTGTTGCTTTCCCAGGTGCGTTAGCAGGGACTTGGATTGGAAGTGGAGCAGCCAGGACTTGAACCAGAGCCCATCTGAAATGCCATTGTCACAGACAGCCAATTAACATGCTAAGCCACAACAGCAGCTCTTCCCCAGAGTATTTTTAAGTAAATAGCTCAATGTGTATCTCTAACAAAGATTTAATATATATATATATTTATTTATTTATTTATTTGAAAGGCAGAGTTACAGAGAAGCAGATGCAGAAAGAGAGGTCTTCCATCGCTGGTTCATTCCACAGATGGCTGATGGATGCAATTGCCGGAGCTGTGCCAATCCAAAGCCAGAAGCCAGGAACAATTTCTGGGTCTCCCTAGCGGGTACAGGGGCAGAAGCACTTGGGCCATCTTCTACTGCTTTCCCAGGTCCTCAGCAGGGAGCTGGACTAGAGGTGGAGCAGCTGGGACTCAAACTGGCACCCATATGGGATGTCAGAGCCACAGGAAGATGCTTAGCCAGCCCCCTTTGTTTTCTTAATTCCTTTCTTTTCTTCCTTATCTCTTTCTTTCTTTTCTTTTCTTTTTTCTTTCCTTTTTTTTTTTTTTATTTGCTGAAGAAATCAGATCATATATCCTGTAGACTTTTTCACATTCTAGACCTGGCTAATTGCATCCTCATGATGTCATTTCACATTTACTTCAGTGCCCATATTTCCTACAAACTGATGGTTAAATCCAAAAGTTTGGTTGTGTTTCAGTGGAATTTTTTTTATAAGACTGTTGTATAAGTGATGTTTTATAGTATTCTTTCTGTAACTGCCACCCCCCATTCTCTCATCGACCTCTATCTTGGTCATAATTGTAGTTCCCCTCCTCCCTGATTCCCCAGCATGTAGAGAATCTTAAAAGACACTGGCTGCCTTTTTTTCCTACTCCAGATATGCACCTGTGGTCTGGTGTTAAGAGGACTCCCTCCTCAAATTCCTAGTTCACACATGCACACACATGGCTTATCTCAATAGCAAATTTATTCAACAAAAAAAATCATTAGTAGATACTGCAAAAAATAAAGTATTTTGTTTTTAAATTTTTATCAAACAGAAAAAGAAATAATATTCATCCATAGCAAGAAACTAGTAAGTTAATGCTTAGAACTGTGGCAAATATTGCAGATCTGTGTATTTAACTCCTGAATATTTCTTTGTCCCTGAAATGATCCCCACTGCCTCTGCCGTAGTGGTTCATGCATCATTTTATCACTTGGAATGATGTAATTGCTTTCTGTGGACTCAACTCTCCCCTCCCTTCCAGCATACCCAATTCTCTGTACCAAGGTGAATGGTTTTAAATTTCATAAATACAAATTCTGAAAACTGAACATGTAATTTCTCTGTAAAACTCTTCAATGGCCTGATTTGGAGTGTTCTAACCACTCTGAACTATTATTCACAGTCTGCTACCTGCTAATATGCTTTCTCTAGGACATAGCACGGCATTCCTCTGCCTGAGATGCCTTCTGAGTTGCCTAATATCCTTCAAGACTCAGCTCAAGTGCCACTTTTCTTGAGATGCTTTCTTATATCTCAATTAGGTAACCTTTGAGCCTGTAAATTGGAATCAGAAAGCTGCAGGGATAAGGATGTGTATCAACTACATTTTGTCCTTGACAGAAAAGTTACCCAGGCAATGATAAAGCCGAAAATAAGTTCATTCCACGCATTGTCTTACTTTATCCTCACAAGAAACCTATGAGGTAGGTTTATTATCATTATTCCATTTTATAAAAATGAAAATTTATATCAGAGAGCTTATATTACATGCCTCAAATACCAACTGATAGATAAATGGTGAACTAGAATTTGAACTCAGATATGAATGAATCCAAAGCACACCCTCTTTCCACCATATTGTATTCCTGACACCACCAACTACTCTAGTTTGATGCCATGTATATTTATGTATGCAATATCTGAATATGTTTAATATCTGTATATTAGGGTACTTCAAGAAGTTATAGAAAAAGTGCAATAAAAAATAAGTTTGGGGTGGCATTTGGCCTAGCAGTTAAGATACCCACCTCCCAAATCAGAATACCTGGGTTTAATTCTTAGCTCCAGATCTTGATTCTAGTTTCTTGCCACTGCAGACACTGGGAGGCAGCAGTGATGGTTCGCGTAGTTGCATTCCTGCCACACATGTGAGAGACCTGGATTGAGTACTTATATATATATATATTTTTTGAAGTTATTGGGGCCATTGTTGTGGCATAGCTGCTTAAGCTGCCCCATGCATAGCCAGCATTCCCTATGGGTGCCAGTTCGAGACCTGCCTGTTCCACTTCTAATATAACTCCCTGCTAATGCACCAGGGAAAGCAGCAGAAGGTCCAAGTGCTTGGGCCCCTGCCACTCACGGGAAACCCAGAAGAAGCTCCTGGCTCCCAGCTTTGGATTGGCCATTGTAGCCATCTGGGGAGTAAACAAGTGGGTAGAAGATCTCTCTCTCTCTGTTTCTCCCTCCTCTATATACTTTGCCTTTCAAATAAATAAATACATCTTTAAATAACTATTTTATTTGAAAGATAGTTACAGAGAGGGAGAGAGGGGTAGCTTCCATCTGCTTGTTCATTCTCTAAATTGCTGCAGTGGCCAGTGCTGGGCCAGGCTGAAGCTCAAAGCTTCATATGGATCTCCCATGTGGATGTCAGGAGACCAAGCACTTGGGCCATCCTCCACTGCTTTCCCAGGTGTATTAGCAGGAAGCTGGATGGAAAGTGGAACAGGTGGGACTTGTATGGGGTGCTGGCTTTGTAGTCCTGGCTTAATCTACTGTGCCACAATGTGGGCTCCCTGGATTGAATTCTTGGCTCCTGGCTTCTACCTGATCTAGCCCTGGCTGGTGCAGGCATTTGGGGAGTGAACC